ATGGATCACTTGGGTTGTTACCAACATCTGGTGAAAATTTCATGTCATTAGCACCTCTAGTAATATATTTACTGAGAGAAATGGTGACGTGTTCAATAGTTATTTTACCCGCTGTATATAAACAATGATAGTAAATGCACATTTGTTATATTTTTGAATATATTTAACAGATTAAAAACGTAAAACTTCATGTTCTTCCTAAACTAAGCAGAAATATTTCAAATTTGTTTTTTTTTTCTGAGTGGAATTTCCACTGAAATGATTAAAGACTTGCTTAATAAACAGCAGCAGTTAATTCTCTGTAAGATTACATAAAACATTTGATGCTTTTGAAGTGAAGATGCTTTTTCAGCTGCTTCAGTTCCTCTTTTTTTATTTGCTGATTCAATACTTCCTCTTTTAAACAACGTAAGGATAAGATAAACTACACATCCTCCTTTGGGGAAAGGTCTTTGTGTTGCTCCGTGTTTAAGAATTATAAGATCATTTAAAATGTAATCAAAGGTAAAACTGAACGAAGGAATGAGAAACCAGCAGAGGAGGTTTGAGTGTTTCTGTATTTTCTGATCTAGAGACTTTAACCCTGTGAAGACAGGAAGTTTGTCTGCAGCTGATAACAGGTGGGTGTGTTTAATGTACAGAAACACTTCCTATAAGTTTCATATTTGTTCTTGTTGTTTCARTTTGCTGACGCTTCAGCTGCTTCTCTTAGTTCAACAACAACTGTAAGTATTTTCTTATAATAATTTATATTTCAAGTCTTTTCCCCTCTAATAAGCATCAGTATTCTAGAAACAGGAAGTAAAACATGTTGAGTTCAGTGTTTGTTTTATTTTACAAARAGTGCAGTCTGAAAACTGATCTCACTGCTGCAGATAACAGGTTTTTATGTAAAACATGTCCGGTAGATGGTTAAACTGCCTTATTTTCTGTTATAAACACAACATGATGATGTTTGAGTCTTTATTATGCAGCTCAGTTTAAAAATAAAACCTATTTTTTTAAATGCACAACATAAAATTAGTTTATAGAGTTTATTCTTTGTGTTCTGCTTTTTGCATGATAAAAAACAAACAATGTGACTCCTAACCAGCCGTTTCTCATSCCTTCTGTTGCAACATGAAAAAAAAAAAGTTTTATATAACTCCCTCATTCACTGTTTGATTTATCTTTTTATCTTTTCCCTCCTGAATGAAGTCAAAATGAAAGTAGCAGCCTTCAACATGAAGAACCTGGGGATGAAAAAAGTCTCCGACAGCTTCGTCTCCAAACGTCTGATCGAGGTAATAATTTATTTCTAACAGGTGTAAAGGTAAAACATTAAACCAGAATGAATGTGTTTGTCTCAGATCATGTCTCAGTACAGCATCGTGCTGATTCTGGAGGTCGTGGACAAAAACAACAAAGCCATGGAGCTGCTGCAGGAAAAACTTAACAAAGCTTCGTGAGTTTTTATCAAACAGGTTTACTGCATTTTATATAAAAACACAGTAAGAAAAATATGTGTTAATTACTCAAAATGGTATGTCCGAATAAAGAGGAATCCAACTGGATTTCTTGTCGAAACTATATTCTCAATCTTCTGACTCTACAGCACTCAGCACACATAAGACCTTGGGCTGAACCAAAACACAACAACACAGAAGCCCTGCTCTGAGCTGCAACACACTCACAACTTCTTTCTACTATAATAATGAACTGACCTTATAATGTACATCTCTTCCTGGTTACACCCCTGGAAGTGTTACCTTTTACGTCAGATGTAGAACATGACTCATTTTTGTTTACACTAAAGAAAGAACATATAAGGCACACCAAATCTTTGTCTGCTTTAACTTTAAGACTGAAATGATCATAAAGTATATAATACAAAACCGCATCTAACATTCAGTTAATCAGTTACAAAATTTCTTTCAATACAGTGTGAATGCTGAGTGCTTTGATATAAATTATGCCACACTAATTGTAGTTGTGTCTGTTTTTTAAAGGGAACGTTCATATAAAATGGCCCGCAGCGCCTGTCTGGGTCGAGACACCTACAAGGAGCAATATGTTTATTTCTACAGGTTGGTCTGGATTTATTCAATCTGACAAATATGTTTTTGTTGATGATGTTAAAATATCACCACAGTGAATTGTTATAAACATTGAAAACAAATTGATGGTGCAGACTTTTTGTGCGTCTCAGTATGATGTGGGTCGCCACATGCAAAATGAAATGTTAAAGAAAATTTCACCAACATTTTTCATTGTTTAGCGCACTTTCTTACTGCTCACTGTTCTTTTATTTTGCTAATTTTTACTAAATTCTAAATTTATATTTAAGTATTATAACCTAAAACTTCGTGTAAAAGTGAAATTTTAAATGTTAAATGTTGAATTTAAATGTTGAAGTTCACATTTAGGTATTTTGGAATGGAACGCGGCCTTTACGTTTGGTGCTCGGCTCATGTTATGACATCATCATCCTGAGACAATAGCAACCGCTAGCACTACTGGTGTTTAATATCTAAATTCTAAATGCGTTCATAAGCAAACAGTATTGTATCAGATAGTATCTGTGGTCCAGCAGTTTGAAGTGCAGCTCGGACACTGGTTGTAACAGCAAATTTAATGTTTTGTAGGGAAGCTTTAGCTGCAGTGGAGTGCTAGCGGTTGCTATTGTCTCAGGATGATGATGTCATAAGATGAGCTGAGCACCAACAGCAAATGCAGCGTTCCATTCCAAAATACCTAAATGTGAACTTCAACATTTAAGATTTAACTTTTGCATTTAGCTTTATGATTATATATATATATACAGTATATAACATTCAAATTTAACATTTAATAAAAAAAATAGCAATGTGTAAGAACAGCGAGCTAAATAACATTAAAACCTTAGTGGAAAATTTTTAACACTCAAAATGAGCTGAAAAATATGTTAATTTTTTTTTACACTTGGCACCCCTTACCTCAGAGAAGACGAGGTGAAGCTGGAGGATGAATATCAGTATGAAGACAACCAGGCTGGAGATGAAGATGCTTTTGCCAGAGAGCCGTACGTCGTGCACTTCAAGTGTCCAAACACAGGTTTGTGACGTTCAGCTGAAGAAAAACAAAGAAATACATAGAGACTGATCTTTGCGCTCAAAACTGCTTTTACTATGAAGACCAAGTCACAACAGCAACGGAGCCGGATGGWGACATTGGATCAGTGATTCTGTTTTATGTTTCCATCCAGTTGCTGAGGACCTGGTTCTGATCCCAGTCCACACCAAGCCAGAAGACGCACAAAAGGAAATAGACGAGCTTTACGATGTGGTCACGGCCGTCAGGGAGAAATGGGGAATTGATGTAAGTTTTATAAATGAATCATTTCAAGACAACAGAACGTGTAACTCACACTGATCTTCTTTTCTCTGCAGAATATTATCATTTTAGGAGACTTCAATGCAGATGGTCGCTATCTTTCCGCGAAGAAAAAGAAGACTGTACGCATCTGCAAAGAGCCTTTTCATTGGCTGATCGACGACAGCGTGGACACAACAGCCAGCAACTGCAACGACGAAACCTACGACAGGTGAGTCAGACCAGGTGTCCCAGCAGAAACAAGCAGCAGCATCAGGGTTTACAACTGAGCTCTTTGTTTTCTGCAGGATTGTGGTCTATGGAAGTGAAATGCTGGACGCCATCGTCCCCGACTCGGCCAAAGCCTTCAACTTTCAGAAAGAGTTCAAACTGACCGATGAAGACGTGAGATTTATTTGTTTTAATGATCTACATCTCTTTGTTTGACAATTAAAATGGTTTAAAGGTAAAACCAGAGCTGAGATTCATCGTGTGTTTGTCTGTGTTGTCCAAGGCTCTAAGGATCAGTGATCATTATCCTGTGGAGGTGGAGCTGAAGACTAAAGCAGGACCAAAGAAGACCCAACCTAAAAAGAAAGGTTCGCCTTTAATGTGGACTTCAGAGTGATTGATTACATCCAACACCTGATTCAAAAATGATCAGATGTTGCTTTAATATGAGCAGATTCCAGTTTAAAGGTCATTCAAATGATCTTAATCTGCATTAAATGAATAAAAACTGAACTAAACTGAATTTCACTACATTAATTTTCATTCTGTTGCTGTAAACCAACAGGACCTCAGAAGGATGCAGGAGCTAAAAGAAAACCAGGACAGAACTCTGCAGCCTCGACGTCAAAGAAACGACGTTAAGTTTAACAAACAGGTGGATCCTTTATAAGCTAGCTTTTTTTTGCAAAAAGCAATACGGTTCTTAAAATGTATTTTTTTAATTCCTTTAAAAAATATTGAAGATGTTGATGTGTTTTTTAAAGCTGACATTGTAAAATCTAGAAACAACGCTGGAACCAGGGATTTTTTTATTGTTAAATTTGCTCAAAAAAAATAAGCTAATAAATAAAAAAAAACATACTTAAAATTGTATTTATTGTCTTCATTTTAAATATTAAGGTGACCAGTTTAAGTAACATAATACAGTTTATGTATATATATGCTGTACATATATATATATATATATATATAATGCATTTTTGTACAGAAAGATAATTTTTCTTTCTATTTTCAGTTTATTTATTTTATAAATAATTACTGTAGATTATTTGCATATTTGCTTTATTTTAGAGTATTTTTAACCCGTAAATGTGGTGTTGTTACTTTTAATGGTGTTTTGGGTTAGAGTGGTGATGTAATCTAAAAAAACTACCATCAAAAACCTCATAAGAATACACTGACTTTAACTGCCACACTCTGAGCTCTCTTAGCAAACAATTTCTTCCCACAGCAACATTTTTCAGTATACACAAACCAATTATATATCAAAACGTAGGCGATTTTGTCTTCTTTTGGCCAATATTTCTGGTTTTGCTCTAGAACAAATACTTTTTTCTCAAACTGTGTCAGAATTCAAGGAAGTACCACTACTCTTTTCTTCCTGTCTTTCTCTATGTTAAATTTCTGATTCAGAAGTGAAACAACAACCATTTTTACTTGTAATTTCTCTGAGATCGAGCGCTGTACAAATCTGAAAAAGATGAGGAGGGGGACAGCCCAAGACCCAGCCTGTCACATACAGGCACACACACAGACACAATCACACGTTCCTACCCCTCATACACACTTTATACCCCAAAGTCCAGGACGGACACACTCACCCCCTGCAGGGGGCAGCCCACATCCAGACCCAGGAGGTAGTCCCCTTTGTTCCAGGAGGGGAGCAGACAATCAAACCTCAGCAGCAGCAGAGCCYCTCATCAGTCTGGACGAGGGCCGGGCATCCCARGAARGACCCCRGTCCACACACCAGTCCCAACCCCATCCAGAGAGGCGACCAGAGAAGTCCACATGATCCAAATGAGCCAGTCTGAGCAGCCCCAAGCAAAAACCGTCCCAGAACCCAAGTAAGCCCCAACATCCACTCCATACTTTCTACACCATATGTCCCGACATGAGTTCCTCCACAGGGCCACCCCAAACCAGCAGACCGACATCGAGCACATGCCCTGAAACACAAACAATAAATCCTCCACAGGGGGAGCACCCCAACAGGATAGCTCCCCCTCCACAGAGTCGATGAATGCCCCACAGAGCGCGAGCTCCACATGCAGCTCCTGCTTCACACAATCTCCACCATATCCCACGCCCACAGCAAGCCACAACAGCAGGGCAAAGGACCCGTTACAGGAACCAGGCAAAAACCATGGAGTCTGCAAAGCCACCCGGCCAACACAACCCCAACCCGCCCGTCCACAAGACAACCCATGCATTCAAGCCAGCCAGGCACCCTGACATGAGCCGCCAGGTACACAACCCCCAGCTGACCACCCGCCGGACTACAGCGGCCACTCTCCGGCTAGAGGGACGATTACAACAACCAGGAACCACGATCCGAAAATCCAAACGACGCCAAGGGAACCAGAACGCCAGCCCC